CCATTTCTACGGAACAAGTCGCCACATGTTCCAACCCCCAACCTGGAGGGCCAGGAGACTGTGTTCATTAGACCTCTAACCTTTGGCCAACCCGGTATGAGAGACTCTGTGAGTGTCGCGGGACAATCTCAAGTATAGCTCAATGGATCTCCGAGGTACACAAACCGCCACACCACGGTAAGGTCCAGTCTCTTCTTGACGGCTTGTGTGACGGTTTGCGCATCTCAGCGATCCATTGAGCTATACTGGAGAGTGTCCCGCGACACTCACATTCTCTCATACCAGGTTGGTCAATGGTTAGAGGTCTGATGAACACAGTCTCCTGGCCCTCCAGGTTGGGGGTTGGAACATGTGGCGACTTGTTCCGTAGAAATGGCAATGCATTTGCACTTCCCGCCAAACACCGCTGCCTTGCGGTTAGGCTTTTAAGCCAAAGGCTTTGGTTGAAGACCCTAATCGTCCTCCTGTCTAGGTATGGGCGCCCTGGCAGTATCCCAGCCCATGTACAACCATGCACAGCACATATACAATTACAACCAAGTGAACTCAAGAAAATCATAAATGAGATCATAAAAGAGATTCACTTGAGTCTCCGGTTCAAATTGATTCATGTACAACCATGAATTGCACATATACAATTACAACCAAGTGAACTCAAGAAAATCATAAATGAGATCATAAAAGAGATTCACTTGAGTCTCCGGTTAAAGCCAAATTGATTTGCAAATGGGCGTATCTGTCAAAAGCTGGAGGTTCTTCAAAACCCTAGTAGCTGCTGGAGAAATCCACAATGTATACAAGGGCGATACTACTTCAGTCTTCGTTGAATAATATAACTCTCGCAAGTTTTGGATAAATTTCTAGAAATACTCTCGTCCGTAAGTCCTCGCCTGCTTCAAAATGAGGTCGACTTTTTTTGACAATTCAAAGGGACACTCAAATGGTTCGAACGTTCTGTGCATCTTGGAATTTGTGTCCGCCATTGTATCGTTAAATATGAGGTCACTGCGCTAATCTTCGAGATTCGATACATGTTTGCTAATTTATAGAACCTTCGGTGGCAAAGTGGTATATCCGTTAATCTCAGTAGGCGTGGATCCGTGTACAGCATGAGTTGGGAGTGAGGCATCGCCTCAGTGAACTTGGATGCCTTTGGTTTCCTGAAAGCTACTGCCTCAGAATCGTAGCTTGGGTAGACTGGTGTCAACGGTTATGCAACGATGGCTGGTTTTTGGCAGCGCGGCATGAAGACCAATCGATGAATATGCTGGACGAGAAGGTATGACGACTTGTTTGTGTATTGCACACTCTCACTCCTCGTCTCCTGAAGAGGAAGAGGCGCAACTTTCAAGCTAGCAGGACAGTATAAAAGCTTTACGGAATGTCGCTGCCGACTTGATCTGCCGCTTGGGCTGAGGTCCACATTGTTCTCCTTATGCTTAGCTAGGAACGCCACAGGTTATGGCTGCCAGTCTGTGTGAGTGGCAGTTTTGTCATTTTCTATGTAGATATGGGATATTTGAGGTGTAAACACCTTGAAGTGCTTATATTGGTCTTGTATTAAATATCAGAATGTTAGAAAGGAAGAACTACATTACCCACCGGCGACAAAGTTTCTAGGTCGCATATCGGGAAGCCGCCAACCGGTGTGTCGCGCTTGCCCGTAAACTGTTCTAGTGCGTGTTCCATCCGTAAATACGCCACCCCGTCGTATTCTTATACGCCTGAAAAAAAAACGAAGGAAAATGCCGACTACGACGCTGCATAGACAATTGAATAGGGGTAGGAATGAACTGCCAAGTTTATCGAAAAGATTCCATAATCGCCGACCACATAAATCAGTAGTAACTAACTCGAATGGTAACGCTGTATCTTCAGTAATCTAAACCCCAGTTTTGGCGTGATCCTTTTAACGGGTGGTCTCAGACGTTTTTGCATGTCAGTCGCAAAGAATGCTGTATACCCGTGTATCTCAAGCCACAAAAACAAGTAGAGTAATTCGGGTCGTTGACTCGATAACTCGTGTACTAGTTAAGAGGTTCATCTTTGCGATAGTTTTGAAGTTCTTCGATCTCATTTAGGCCACAATTCAAACCTGCACAGTGTAGTTCAGTTGTTGTCCGATGTATGCTCTTATCACAGTTGTGAAGATGAACCGATGGGGCTTCTCTCATTTAAAACCATTTTGTGTGTTTGATTTTGTACCTTTTGCCCTTCGTGAACAACCCAGGTTCTCTTGTACTAGTATTTCAAGCTAAATTATTTGATAGTGAATATTACACACGAATAATATGTTCTATCCTATTGGTGTACAGGCTTGGATCTTCCAAGGTTTAGGGGTGGGTTATTGGTGGTAGTCCCTTGTAAAGAACATTCACTCTCAGTTTCGGGTGTGCACTAGTTGTTTGGGCTTCCTATCATCTACTCATTCTTTTCTCAATAATTCTCGAATACTTTGGTT